TCTCTCTCTCTCTCTCTCTCTCATATACCATATCATATCCCCGCTCTATTCTCACAGCACGTTCCGTACTTAAATCTCTCTTCTCTCACCACTGTGTCCCGTCATTCAAGTCTACTGGGTGTTATATCATTGACTTATATCCAATGTTCTGATGTACTCCTTCGGTTATTTGAATTTAAGATATATTAAGATAAGATAAGATAGTACATGTAGGCTACTTTATTATCCCAGAGGGAAATTTTCCTTGGCTGTACAGGACCGTAAAAACACATGCAGGTATACATAACAATTTTTTAATCAAATATATTACTCTCATTAAAATTCAATATGAAAGGAGAAGTAAGAAGTGTATGTAAGAAGAAGAAATTTATTTCCCTTCCTCTTTAAAAAGTTAGAAAGAACAATTATTATTATTTATCATTATTGTTCTGCACTCTGTCAAATCTTGACAATGTCTTACCACCAAGAAGTTCTCAGCTACCGTACTTCTGTTCGAAAAGTATCATACTATCGTTACCCTTGTCATAAGACAGCTTAACCCACAAGATACCATTAAAAAGCAAACAAACAAACAAACAAACAAAAAACACAAAAAACAACAACAAAAAACAACTAAAAACTCCCAAACAAACAAACAAAACCGAATCGATAGTAAATTATCTATTTTCGATTCTCAGTCAAAAACGTGTCTGAATTTTGACAAAGAATGTTCCCAAAACGTTAGAAATACATGTATAGCCAAATAACTTGAAGGCAGCCATGTTGCTGTGTGACTAAACCAAATAAATTAAACATTTTGTTGTTGTTGCTGTTATTTTTGTTTTGTTTTTATTCTTGTTTGTTTGTTATTTTTGCTTCTCCGTAAACTCGACCCCGCTGGGGTTATCGCTGGTCTTATCTCAAGCACAACAATATGTGAGGCAGCGTGGTGGAATCAGTTTTTGGGCATGGAGAGTTATTGGTATCATCTTAAAGCTTGTTCACTTGTCTTTATTTGGATGAAAAAAATATCAATTTTCTAGAATACAAGTCGAGATATTTGCGAATGAAGGAGGTGGGGGTCACCTGTTTTCAGAGGTAAAATTAGTGAGAAAATGGCCGCCAAAGATTAGAATCTAGTTATTTCCTTAGCTTAAGAGTCCGTGGAAACTGAAAATTTACATTTTTTGTGCCTTTTATTAACGTTTTTAAGAAAAATCCACACAGAAATGAGTTCTTTAATGGGCATGAAAGGTGATGAGTCAAAAACAAAAATTTTATAAAAATCCACAAACCTGCGGGAAAATGCACGTTTCTTCACTTTGATTATTTTGATGAGAGCCTGATTCCACCAAGCTGCCTCACATATCATAGGCCGAGTTCGTGCACAGGCATAATAAAAGTTCGTTCGTCAATGTCTAACGATTTGCAGAGGAGAATAATTTCTTTAAGTGAAACAAAAGAAATTCAGGTTACGATGATCTGAGGCTTCTGCTATGGCCAGTGAGACCAATTCTGGCAGAGGCAAAATTTAATTACGTGCAAAGCTTTCCGTTTGCTGAGCCGAGGACAACAATAGTCTTGACTGGCGCGCGGGAGACCCATTCATTTCCTATTTTGCTTGTCACTTAAGTGCCCACAAGACAGTGATCTGTAAACAAGTTGTACCATTTCTTATTCTTAAGATCTTATGAACAATCAAATGACTCTCTCTCTCTCTCTCTCTCTCTCTCTCTCTCTCTCTCTCTCTCTCTCTCTCTCTCTCGCTCTCTCTCTCTCACACACACACACACACACATACATTCGCGCGGACTCACACACACACACACACACACACACACACACACACGAACACACACATACTCACTTTCTCTCACTCTCTCTGTCTCTCTCTCTGTCTCTCTGTCTTTCTCTGTCTCTGTCTCTGTCTCTGTCTCTCTCTCTTACACACACACACACACACACTCTTTCTTTCTATCACATACACACATAGAAACAGGCACGTGTAAAACTGTGTATTGTAACTGTAAATAGTTTACTCCCCACAGACACAATTTAGATTATTTAGTAGACAGACTGCTTCAACCCTGCCTTTCACGGTCGACTCGGGCTCAGTTGCAGAGGGACAGAGATTTTGGACAAAAATATTCCTATGCAGGAATCGAACTCACGTCTTCAGCGTGAAAGGGCAAAGATCCCAACAGTTAGAGCATAGACACAAGTAGGTCCCTTCTATGTAACGTTCATTTCTTCTTATATCATGTACCAGTGTATAATATATACTGTCATATTCTCCATCATATTGTATAAACCATAGATCTATGTGTGTTTTGTGTTGGTGTTTTACGGCCCCCGCAACTACATAAAGTCTTATGAGCTCTCGGGGCACATTAAGCATTTTTCAGTTTGGTCAGAATTCATTTTGAAGATTGCCCGGCCGGGTGGCGGCCGAAGACTTCTCTTTTCAATTCTGGACCACCAAAGGATCTCCAACGTGCGCAACTTGCACACGGGGCCTCCGAGATTTTTCGCCCTTAGCAAGAAGGCTAGGTGTTACTGTTAGATCTTACCTACCCTAGAATTAGGGGTGTGGGTGAAAGACAGCAGTAAGAAGGGGCCAAGCACTACGTCTAAGCAGTAGCAATAGAAACACTGCAGAAAGAGCCAGCAGCCCAGAGGAGGGAGCAAATGGGTGGGCTGGGGGCAGAAATTAGAGACAAAAGCAGACGACAGAACATGGTTCTCGAGCAGGAAAGGATGTGAAAGGAGAACATTTGAGAGAAGAAAACTTTCTGCCGCAGTCAGGTTTCGAACCTGGGACGTATTGAATGAGAGGCGAACACCGTAACCTCTAGACCACGAGAGCCTCAAATCTCTCTCTACTCTATCAATGCAATAAATACATTACCAAATTCAATAATAAGCATAGCTCTAAATTAGAGTCTAATTTGTACAAAACTTACTTGTATGTAAGGACAGCCCCACCAGATCCTGGTTCAGCACGGTAAATTATCAATGGTCAAAGTTCCCACTAAGGATTTGCTGTTATCTGAACCTCCAGACACCTCAGAATGATAACCCCACATGCCTTGAGAAAGGCTAGCCAGCTCAGCGGATACAATCGCTTTGATATGGACAAACGTATATGATAAGCTTATGGAGTAGACACTTGTCCCATTTTGCAGGATGCATAAATAACGGCAGTACATGTGTATCATCATTTTTACATATATATTACTATTACTGTTCTTCATAATCATCGTGGTTTGTTTTTTTAAAGTGGAGATTCGACTTGCTCATGGTTGGGGGAATTTCATGGTTGTCTGACAAAATGAGAAATGAGATCCCCCCCCCCCCCCAATAAGGCTTCCTCAGGAACATAATACGCGTAATGAACTATAACAAAACCCACAAGTATCCCCCCCCCCCCTCCGCGCACAACCACACGAATCAACAACAGCTGTATGGTAAAAGAAAGGTTCAGTTACAAAACATTTTAAAGCGTAGATCTGTGATCGTGAAGTGTACGAGGTTATGGAGCTTCCCGGAGAGCTCAGATGCTCAGAAAAAAAGAACTTAATGTTATGGTTAGGCCTAGACTAGTATGCTTACTTATATATATATATTCGAAAATCGCCATTTTATAAACTTTATGAAGTGTTAACAAGGGCGTTCAACACGATGTAATGCATTATTATCATTCGATGCGCTATTTGTCGAAGGTCAGGGGACTGAGATGACTTTTGATTATAGTATTCTCAACCTCAGTGCTTTCTTCTCCTATCTCCGTGTTTAATAAAAGTGAAAACAGTCCATAACAAAGAATGAGCTAAAGAAGATGTCATATTTTCGATGTTAAAAAAAAATGGAGATAGAATAAGAAAGCACCGAGGTCGCGTATTATTAATACCACACATCCTCTCTATCACACACACACACTGTACTGTGTCAGGCCGAGGGAAGGTCACTGTCTCTTGTAAGTGAAGTCCACACTTGTCTGGCGAGTCGGGTCATCTTGATCCAGGTGTAAAATGTAATTGTTGCTTTGTTTGTTTGTTTGAGCTAAAAGAAGCACATCGACACAATTAAATAATGTTCATTGCGTGCTGGGAAAAAGTAAGACAGGTAGAAAGAACATACGAAAAGGGAAGTAGGACCTACCAATGGCGCCCTCCAACCACCCACTTGTAATTGTTGAAGTTTTACGCCCTCATCGGCACTATTTAGGCCTGTAGATAATTTAAGAGACGGGCTGCTTCGACCCTGCCTGTCATGGCAGACATGGATTGAGATGGATGGAAATAACGTCCTAGTAGAAAAACAAACAACAAAAAACAAAACATCCCCGTACATTGGAATCAAACTAGTCTTCTGCGCGCATTGGCTAAGCGCTTAGCCGCTACACCACGGACTTTGGGTCACCGTGATCCAATCCAGAGCGAAAATCAGAGAAGCCATTGCAAGTGGGCTCAGGTTCGAGTCTGAGTTAAAGTAAAGAGAGGCTTATCGAGACAATAGTTTTCATTTGTCGTGAGAGAAACAACAGAGGGGTAGTAAGGTAGTAATTGTTGGAACCACCATAGTGGCACTTTCAACCACCCGCCAATTGAACGCAGACATCAAACTAAATTGTGGAGGAATAAACTTTGACCCTTGGGAACACTACATATCCTGAGATGTGCGCAGTTTAGTTGCCTGAAAGTCAGCCCTAGCTGTGTGAGAAACTCGACATAACACCTGCTCAACACTAGAAACTGACTCGTGCCTTTTGCATGTAAGGCTTGAATTCGAGTGTAAAAGTAAAGAGAAACACATCCACGAATATCTCATACAATGTATACGCACCCCCACATATGGTCGTATAAGTGCCAAAGTTTAGTTTTAGTAAGATTTTACGGTGCTCGCAACTGCATAAGGTCATAATAGCGCCAAGGGGTGGATGTCAACAGAGAAGTCCAACCGGGGAATCAGGCTTACTCTGCTCACCTCTCAAGCCTCAACAGCACTAAGTCTTCTTCGACTATCAAGGCACCCCAGAAATAGCACAAGACACTGTAGTGACAAACATAAATAAGGATGAAGAAAGAAAAAGCAGCAGTTCCCTTTATGTTGTTCCGGTGCAGTATGAGCATGACATTAATAAATCAACCCACTCACAATTCTTCTGTGCATGAGAACATGTTAATGTCCCCCCCCCCCCCCTTTGGGAATGGCCAAAAGACCTTCAGACAGTAGCACTGCCCTGGTGGGGGGTATAAGTGCCAAAGATTAAAGGTGTTGCAAGAGACTAACAAACACACACACACAAAGGAGAGATAATGACTATAGATGTTTGATAGGAAAGAAAGACCAAACCACATCAGGGCATCTGCCAACCACCCACAAAATTGTCACATGTATGAGTTTGCAACCAGCCCTTAATCAAAGAGAACATTTATTATGTCCAAGTCCTGTTGTTTTTGTTTGTTTGAGTCCTCAGAAAAGAAGCACACTGATACAATAACAGTTGTCTAGCTCTGGAAAAGAGCATGACAAGCTGAAACAAAAGGAATAGAACAGAAGTAGGACCTACTGGTGGCATAAAGCTATTTTGAACAGTAAGCCTCTTTAAAACTTGAAAAAGACATGATTAAAAGAACATTCATTCAAGGGCAAATCACACTTAACCAAAGACACAGTGAAAAATAATACAGCAACAAGTGGTATGTAATTTCACTTATGAGAATCACCTTTATTTTTCACCCATCATCAAGGTCAAATGAAAGTTGCTCTCTGAAAGCAACATTTTCCAAGTTTTGGAAATTAACATAACAAATATGTCGGCAAATCTACATACCACGTGAGAAATCGAGTCTCTACTCATCACATCATGCATCACTGTAACAATCAACAACAGTTTAATGGGGAAGCCAAAAGAGGCAAAGCAAAGAGTCAGTATTAATCCTTGCAAACTCAAGGACTGATGACAGACCTGAAGAATTTGTATAAATTAAAAAGAAAGAAACACAGAAGCTTAACAACTGAAGCCTCCAAACGATCAATTCATAGAGCTGGATACAAGGGATAAAGCCAATTAATGCACTACAGACTTGCACACTGCTTCTTTCTACAGCAGTTGACCAGGGGTTGAAACAGACAATCTCAATAATGTTTTCAACTGTATGTCACTTTTATTTTCCTCATTTTGAACCATTTAAAAGGGAGACACAAAGGTAAAACAGTTATACTTCAGTTCTTTCTTTCTTTTGGTGTGAAGACAGTAAGTAAGTGAAAGAACCACCTCCCCGTTTTGTTAAAATGAATGGACTATTAACTATTTCACCAAAATCAATATATTATCTATATATGACCTATAGACGTGAGTCTAAAAGGCACTCAACTATAAGTGAAGGCTCTGTACAGATACTTTTTCCAAACGACAATTTTAAAACAAACTGAATCACAGTGTAGGCAAAGAGTTGTATCTTTAACTGTGCATGTTCATTAACAATAGCAGGTAACAGTGCAGTGTATTTACACAGATGATTTGGAACACAAGAAATTATTTGAGCACAACTACAGACATATCATTTCCTCATTTTGGAGCTCACATCCATGTATATACATTAGATTACTATCAGATCTATGTAACTATTTAACTTTGGCTTAAAAACTGTGAGGCACCTCCTGTAAGATGCAAGGTCATACAATGCAAATTCTACTCACCTCAGTAACACATTTAGGCAAACAAAGGATACCGCACACAGAACGTATTAAACTAACTGAAGAGTCTACAACATGACAGCATTAAAGACGACGACAGCTCTGTGAACTATCCAACTAAAATATAGAATTGATTGTCAAAAATTGAGCCGACCTGAATGGGTGGGCTTTTTTTTTTTTTTTGGTCATCGTAGGAACTTCAGTGAAAAACCATTCAGCTGATGTATCGTTTAATGTAAAAATCCCAATATAACCTGGTTGCCTGTATAAGTCCGTTGCTTTTAAGTTTGATATAACTGTGTGCTGCCACGATAACCACTACATTATTTCACAGAAACAGTTTTGTAAGTCGTAAGTGTCAGCAACACATCTCAATCAAAGAAGGAAACTTTTAGTGTGTTATCAGGCTTGGTCTACACCCATGATCTCCAACGAGGATGGAGATACAAGAAGAAAAAGAAATAAAAAAGAAAGGCCCATTGACAGGTACACAACCAATACAAGTTGCACCTTAGAGAAAACCTGAAGAGTTATACTATAACCCATAGCATAGCCGTTATAGATAAGTTGGCACATTCCTAGGCAACTTTAGCAAAACCAAATTTCTTTACCAATTTTAGGACACTCTATTATATAAAAAAAAGAATTAAAAAATCTCTCAAGCAATAATGCTGATGTTATAATTCACCACTAACATTTATTTTAAAATTTCCTGTTTGCACTGACCGTTGCCTTTTCTAGAGAAACAAAAAACAAGAGTTAACCCTGAGTACAAACAATTAAGGTAAAGAAGCCTTAGTCATGGCACCATCTATAAACACATTAGGGTGTGGCCATACTTCGTGTCAGTGGGCAAACATCAGTGGACAAAAATAACGGTGCACAGTAGACTGCTCTTCAAAACTAATTCGCTGACATTCCTCTGTATCCACGGCCAGTACGATAAGACACTTCATTTAACTTTGAAGAGCATTTACTGAGCTCTATATTTCTCATCCACTGCCATTTGCCCAGAGGCAGTTAGCATGGCAGTACCCAATGAAAGTTCTGCAAGGAAAGATAATGATATATAAAATGGGAAAAGTCGGGAGAACAGTTGAGTTTGAGGGTAAGCAGTGGTAGGAGACCTTGAAGAAGGTCACTTGCGACAACACATACATACATATACACAAACACATAATTTACGCGAAATATAACTAACAGGCAGTCTTTTCCACTACATCTACTATTCCCACATTTTGACAGAAGCTTTTTTTTTGTCTACCAGAGACAGAAAACAAAGAAAGTTCCCACTTATCCACCACCAGGAAATATGTCAATATCCATGAAATTAGTAAAATTAGAAATTCATCTTTAACAGCCCATTCAAGTCAAACTATCATTTGCAAATGTTTGCAACCTTCCTAGTGGTACATGACGTGTGTCCTTTTAAAAATAAGTTCTCCTGTCCCAAAAGTCATAGACTAGCACAAAGATCAAATGAGAAAACAATTGCTCAATGTTCTTTGGTTCAAGCTAAAAAGTTCAAACACTGCCGGATCATTATCACTATTTAAATGCAAAACACCTGATGGTTTGAAAAAAGGAGAGCGTATAATTTTGTGTTTCACATTTGGACAAACTGTTTCAACAAAAAAAGCAAATGTGAGCTGACCTGGATTATTGCTATTGTCAATTGCAATTTTTAAGACAAAAATGTATGTACACATGCCGAAAAAAAAAAGTCAGGACTGCACACCTTTAATAACAATTTTTTCCTCTGCTTTATAAAATTATGCTATAAATAATTTGTTAGACCTAGGAACACACTTTATGTTCACACTGACAAGAGACACTCTACGTGATGACAGTGGGTTCATCGCGTCCTGAAAGTTCCTTCAGTTTGGACGTCCGCAGGGCGATGGTAATCAAAGGCTTCAGAACATCCTGGAAAAGACATTATGGGTTAAACAGGAAAGTGACACCATAGCACTCATTTACTGCTGGAAAAAACTGAGACATTTCGTGGTGTCTTGTGTTCTAGTGGTTAGGCTGTTGGGGACAGCAAAGACAAAGTTGTGGGTTCAAATCCTGTCAACGGCCAAACGTCATGTCCTTGGGAAAGGCACTGTCCACAAAATTTTTTCACTTCAGCTTGGTGGGAATGGGTACCCAGCTATGTCTGTTTGTTAGTGTTTGAGTGTGCTTAATCGGCTGCTTGCACTGTATGCTTCCTGATAAGCTGAGAAAGTTTTTGAGTGTTCTAGGGTCTGCTGAGGCAATATAGATTGTACAGTACATAGAACCTGCTGGTAAGTGGGGATATCCCCTACACAAAATGCTATTCATTATTAACGAGAAGAACAATGATGTGATTATGGCCACTCAGTGCACGGCGAAAGTAAGATAAGTAGTAAGAATGACCAGAAGGAGAAAAAAAAAGTACAATGTACAAGAAGCACTCTTTAACCAGCAAAAAAGTGTAAGACAGATACAAGATACACAGCAAAAAATACAGAAACAGAAAAGAAGAAATACATTTTTCTAGTGGCACCCTTCAACTACCCACAGAGATCACAAGCAAGATAGTTGTTCAAGGTTGATATATAACAATTGCTCTTTGCGACTTGTAGTTCATCATGAACCAGCATGACACCCACCAATCACTCATTGAAACACAGGGGGTGAGGTCAACAATTTCAATTCATTGAAAAACAAGACTAAGCGAAATTTTGGAGATGATATTTTTGGGATTTTCAAAACCTTCGATTAACTGAAAAACAAGACTATACAAAAATCTTGAAGAAAATAAATGTTGATATATAAAGGAAAGAAGAATTTCACTGAAATTGTTTTGCTTCCTACAATAATTGTGCCTTTTAAAATAGACCTGCATGTGAGCCTCAACCAGATTGCACCCCCCCCCACAAGAGCTTTTGTGGGTGTCATAAAAGGAAGGAATTCTGAGTAATGAGCGACCACCCCAAAAAACACAATGAAGAAGAGACCTAACCCTAACCCAAACACTACCCCTAGGCCTACCCCAAAAAAGAACCTGCAACGGCCCTTGTGTAAAAAGGCCAACATGAGTCCAAAAAGAGAAAAAAAACCCCCCAAAACAACGAGCATAATATGGCGTTTGATATAATAACACAATAGAATTGGAAAATGAATCCTTCATATAGATCTAGTAATCTAAATAGATCTAGATCTAGTAAAACAAATGAATACGAATAGGCCCTGGACAAGAAATCCGCATCCGATTCCGAACAGAGGGACTCAGCTGAGTCTAGATTCGAAATAAATAATTCCTGCACTTGATGAAATGCTTTTTATCAACATTAACATTACAGCACAACCTATGATAGGGTTTGAAACAATAGAATTGGAATATGAATCCTCCATTGAGGTCTAAAATGATCTATAAATCTAGATCTAGATCTAGTAGAACAAGTGAGTCGGACTTGAATGAATTCACATGATCTGAACAATCAGTCAACAAACAAAATTCAAAATGGCCACTCGAGAACGAAACTGAAAGTAGATAATTTAGGTCGTCCTTCTTTTTTCGTATTCGTATTTCTACTCAGGTTCCGACAATTATGTCGGAAACGCCAACGTCGGCAGTCGGCACAAATACGAAAGTGCCGACAAAGCTGACGGGAGAAAAAGGGAGCGCTGGCAGTCGGCCAGGCCTCAGACTTCGCACATAGACTACAGATCTACATGTGGGCCTAGTGATAGCATCGGCCGGCTCGCGGGTCGGGTCGCGATTGTCGGATTTCAGACGATTGTTGGCAAACGTGCTGGTCTATTTAAAAATAGTGATGAAGCTCCTTATTTTATTTGAGCAGTCATCAAACTTCACCACTTACCAATATCATACAATGTCATTACAATTCAGGCTAAATGTTGTGTTCCTATCCGACATACAATTTCCACACTTTAAAAAAAAAAAAAAATTTTATTTGTCCAGTACTGACAAACCCCCAAGTGGTGCCAAAAAACAACCCCCCTCCCCCCCCAAAAAAAATAAAAAATTAAAGAAACCTGAAATAATGTAAACAATTTCCGATTGCAAGCATGTTGTAGATGGATTTTTCTGTTTGCATAAAAGTAAAAGAGGCATTTCGAAACAAACACATAAGAAAACTGAAAACAACTGATTCCAGTTGATTATCAGGGAATCAGTTTTCAGATACATCTATTTTTTTCAGATAAACCTATCCCCCTCACCTGAGCATCCTGCAGGTAGCTGTTAGGGTCTGACTCCTGCTCATAGCCCTCCACATAGAGCCTGACGGTGGCGCCACTACTGCCCGTCCCACTCAGCCGGAACACAATGCGAGAGCCATCCTCAAACATGAGTCTGATGCCCTGTACATCACGTTATAAAACAATGCAATAGATGTCACAAGAGGACTCTGGTAGCTGCCTTGAGCATAGTTTTGTGTGAAGACAATTATAGCACAGTACAATTGGTTGCATGTGGTCAAGAAACATTTTGTTGAAATTCAAATCCTAAGTATTAAAAAAATCCCCCCCCCCCCCACCCCCCCCCAATAACGTAGGTACAATTTGTTAGAAGAATAAAACAAATTTTTATTTTTCTCTCCTGTAAAATTTTGCTTTCTGGGCTTGGTACATTTTAAGAGCTTGATGACGATATATCTATTCATTTAACAGAAGAAAAAAAAAGGTAAAAATGGCTCAAAAACGATCTCCTCTAGCACATACCTGATTTTTACTCACGCTCCCATCGATTGGGTCATGATACTCAAAGTTATCACAGGCGGCCATCTTGTAGGATTTTCCCGTTGGATCAGAAAAGGTCATCCCCACGGTCTTTGGGTCGTTGATCAACTTGGTTAGACCCTCCATCAACTTGTCCCCAGCCTCAGAAGACACTTGCTCATAGTCGTATCTGAAAGTACGCATTGTCACACACAGGCTCATTTCAGTAACCTTTCAGACAAAAAAAAACTTGAAAAGCAATTCAATACAAAACATTTTAACATTTTATTTTAGCTTAATGGAGAACTAAATGAATGCTCAATCTTATGAATTATGATAAGTCCCATTTAGTTTAGTCTGCGTTGACAGCACTGACATTTTGTGAGCTGACCCATTTGGTTTAGGCTACTCTATACCTTTTATATACTCAAGAGCAAAATCAACTTGACACTGCTAATTATGCTATTTAATCGTTCAATAATAGTTTTTTAAAATAAGCCACAGATCACAGTAAAAGCAATTTAGTGCTCTAAAACGTGCTGAAAAACATCAGTAGATATCTGTGAAGATCTTTGTATGGAAGTCATCTGAAGACAATGATCTGAAAAACTTAAGTTGCAAATTCAACACAAATATTGACCATAAAGTATGCCTGCGGAGAAGTCAGTGTCCATGCTAATGCGAGTGGTTGCTCTTACTGACCAGACTGGTGGCCACACCAAATATGGATTTCCTTTCTTATAAGTGATTATTGATGCAGACCTGCCAACCCCACCATGACCAAAAACAGGAATTTTCTCAAAATCCTTGCCAAAATTTGGAGTTTGGGGGAAAAATCAAAGTCTCCAGAACCCATTAGATTAAGTTAACGTTACAAATCAAAAGTAGCAAATACATGTGTATAGTAAACGAATGCAAATAAAAATGTATTTCCCACCAATTATGATTAGTCATGATGTGGGAGAAAACTTGTTGGGCGAGCGGACAGCAGGAGATCTCAGAGGAAGAACCCCCCCCCCCCCCCTCAAGCTAGTGTTTCGGCCCTAATTTCCTGACACTCTACGGTGGCCAGGCCACACTCAGGTCATGACTCCTGAGTGCTCTCCTGCTGTTTCAATGAAGGCCACTGAAACTATAGCAAATAAACTGGTGTAGTTTGCAAATTTGCATCTTTCATTTTTACAGTGACCTTTATTGTAACTTCACAGGCCAAAAAGTTTTGAATATTTTTCAAAAATGTCTTATTCGTTAATTCATTTTGTTTCATGTAATATACAACACTTTCATAATTCTATTTGTTCATTTGGTTCTTTTGAGCAAAATGTAAGTGTCCAATTAATTTTGCGCTCGAATATAAATGTGTCACAACGTGGTGGAATCAGGCGCTCGTCAGCTTTTGGGCATGTGGAGTTATTGATACCATCTGAAAGCTGATTTACTTGCCTTGCTTGCAAGGAAATAAATATCCATTTATCTTTAATAGAACTCAATATTTGCCATTGAAGGAAGTGAGGTCGCCTGGTTTCAGAAGTGAAATTAGTGAGAAAATGGCAGCCAAAGTTTGGTAACTCTAATAGCTAAAGAGTCCCTGAAAACAGAAAAGTGACATATTTCGTGCCTTTAATTAGGTACCAGAAACTAAATTTTCAAACTTGCTGTATGCCAAATTTATCTGTTCCATTTGAAAGGCCTATATCCACTGAGCATTTTGGTACCATTCTTTAACCTCTCCGTCAATTTTTAAGAAAATTGAAGTTGTTTAAAATTTGATCAAATTTGTTTAAGTCAGTCATTGGCTGCAACCCCATGTTTGACAGACATAAAAAAAGTACCAAGTGCACTAAACATCTCCACATTAACAGAGTACAATCACTATAACAAATATATGGAGCCTAATTTTTTTCAAGACAGTGAGATCTTTACAAATCAGTATTTTATTGCCTCAAACACGACGATCTGTCGTTATTTCGGCAAAAACACCGAGCGTTGACCCGACGGCGGCGCACCGGCCCCCGCGGCGAGCCAGTCGGTTCTATACTGTAGTGTACCCCGCGTGCGGGGTCACATGCTTTCCGAGTCTCGCGGAAGGATTGATGAAAAATAATTCCAAGTTAATAACTTTATTCTAATAGAAAATGAACTGATCTTTTAATTGATACCTGTTATAAGTCGGTATTATACATATTTTGTGTAAAAAGGGATACTTTAAACATTTTGACGGTATTTTTAAAAGCTTTCTATAAAGACGCCAAAGGCTAAACTTATATCACGGGAAAGCCCGTTTAAAGCTCTACAGTTCTCCGCCAATGAAAAGACGGTATTTAATCATCCCTCGTTCTGCGAAGCATTTGAATGCACGCGTGTCAATTTTTCAACCGGCCGACCTCGCATTCCGACCGCGAGGGGCTTCGCTTTCGTCGGCGATTCTCCAGCTCCTAATCATCAGACATATAAACAACTTACACCATTGTAACGAGGAAAAGCTGAACTTTTACAAGGTGTACGGCATTTGGTGTTTTATAGCGAAAGAGCAAAGAAACAGTGATCGGAATTACCCCCATTTTACCGATACCACGCGGTCGGAAGGCCGCGAGTGCCCGCGAGGCCGTGTTTACGCTACCTACTTTAATCAATGTTTTTCAGTAAGATTCACATGGAAATGTGTGTTTTTATATGGACATAAAAGAGGTTGAGCCAGAAAATAAAAATTCGATAAAAATTTCCAAACTGACAGAAAAATGTTCTCCGACTTCTGTATTTTGACCAGCGCCTCATTTCACCACGCTGCCTCACAAATACAAAACCATAATGCTAGACTTTGAACCAAATTCTCCTTTACTTCTGTAAGAACTGACGTGCATTCTTGACGAGAAACGAGACTGCTCATCAAGGTACGATAACCTTCTTCTGAACACTAAAACTTAACAAGTATTTTCTCATCCCCAGCAAACTCAGCACATTTGACAGAGGCAAGAATGAGAATGACCGAGGACGGAGCCAACGTTACTTCAACCCATGAACAGACTGACCTGGAGAAGTAGTGTCTCCCGAAGGTGGACCAGTGGCTGGTCAGGATTTCTTTGACCGACTGGCCTGTGTTGGCCATGACCGAGAGCCAAGCCAAAGCTGCCCAAATACCGTCTTTTTCCCTGGCGACAAAAACACAGTTGATCTGAGGGACACAACATTAGATGAAGTTGCAAATTCCTTGTAAAATCAAGTAATGTTCTGGGTATTCTTTATCCCCTGGCCAGATCTTCAACTCCAACAGCTGTGAAATTTTACACGAAGGCCTAGTTTATTACATCATGTATCAATTAGTTGCATTTCAGCCTACTCCAAGTAATGTGCAGGAGTTGCTGATAGGAAGTAGAGTTAAGAATTTTACCATGGCAGCCTGCCTAAACAAGATTTCTCTTCATTGAAGTTTTACTGCAAAAGTGGTTGCAAGCAACATGCCCAAGGTACACACAGAACACCCCCCCCCCCCCCATTTTTTTGTCTCAATATGAGAAGACGAGACACCGCACTTATCTACCCTGGAGACAAGGGTGTTAAAAAAATGGTGAAAACCATCAAAAGTGACGCAACAACCACATTTACAAAAAAATGGGAAACAGGCCAGGTCCTTTTTCACAGAACTTAGGGTACGGTAAGATCAAACACTGAGCCTTCTCGGATAAGGTTGGAGAAACAGTCACATACGTAAAATTCAGTTGCACTGCAGGTTGAAGAACAAGCAGTTGACTACCCCTGAGATCTAGCAGGGAATACAAGGAAGAAAGTTGTCTAAGGAAGTGATTGTGAGGATGATAACAATAATGATAACTAGTGGTCATAATTAATACACCTCACACCTCATGCGATCACACTGGGTGGAAGAGGTGATGATGATAATGATGATGATGATGATGATGATGATGATGATGATGATGATGATGATGACAAAAATGATGACGATGATGGTTATCATGATGATGGCTTTGACAACTCACCTAATATAGTTAGATCCTGTTCCAAAACTCTCTTCCCCACACAAACTAATACGATTAGCGTCCATGAGATTGCCAAAGAATTTCCAGCCTGTTGGGGTCTCAAAATACTCCTTTCCGTATTTCTTACCAACTCTGAAAATTTGAGATGGGATTTTTAGCAGGAACAAATTATACTTGTTTGTGAAATGAAATTTGATCAAGAATGAGTTGGTCACAAATAGCATTAAAATTTAACATGGCAGACAAGTATTTCGATTTTTAAAATTCAAGGAAAAAAAACAGAAATCATTCACACACATAGACACCATTTAAATGCACTGAAAGTATATGACACCAAGCACACCTTATTTATTAAAATGCCTTCTATTCATTTCTACCTTTTCAATTGAGGAAGTTTCATTTGCATTTGTGAAGGATGCATATGTGAGTATCGTGGTGAAATCAGGCGCCAAAATAATGAAATCAAAGAAACCAGCAGTTTTCCGCAGTTTGGTAATTTCTTATCATTTTTGGTTTTTTTTTTTGGCTCAACACCTTTTATGCCCATCTAAAAACACATTTCTGCGGGGACTTTAGTGAAAAAAGTAGATGAACGACACAAAAAAATGTAAATTTTCATTTTCCAAGGACCCTCAAGCTTTGGAAGTTACAAAACTTTGGTGGCCATTTTCTCATTTATTTTACCTGTGACACTAGGTGACCCCCACTTCCTTCAATTGCAAATAACTTGACTTCTATTTAAGGTAGATGGGTTTTTTTTGGCCACATGCAAGACAAAGGAACATGTTTAAGATGATACTAATAACTCCATATGCCCGAAAATTGATGAGTGCCTGATTCCACCCTGTCGTGGCACATATATTGGTCAGTGTAAGACTCCAGCATACGTAACTTTTCCAAATGGCATATGGCACAGTTTTACACTGAGCTGCTGATATATTTCAAGTAAACAACATGAAGGGACCAATTAAAAAATGTATTATAGGCTAAATCTGGGCATTACTGGAAAACCTTGTCCACTCCATAACCTTATGATAAGAATTGTCCTGAGAACAATTTTGTTATAAAAATTCACTGTATCTATCGCTATTCAGAATTATAAAATTGCATTTTGTTCATACTGTTGTTTTAAGGGAATAACTTTTCTCCATTTAATCATTTTGCTCAGTTTGGTAGTAAATGGATATGGTGCATTTAGCCATGGAGCCATTCACATTATGAAAGTTTCGTTTCGAGAATCTGCTTTAGGAAGCAAAGTGAGTAAAAGGAAAGTATTTATAACCCCTATGTCTTGGCACATCACTGAGACAACAGCCTGTTATTTCCTCTTCCCACAAGGCCTAGCTGCAGGCCCACTGTGACCTGTGACCTGTGACCTCAGACGTTGTGCACTAGGCCAAGCAGTTCAAAGTGTGGGGTGAAAACATTACTTTCAGTGCAATGTCAACAGGAGTGGCCGACTGAGCAAGTCTAGAAATGATAAATACCACCAAGTCTCACATTGCACGTGACACTCACAAATCTACAGCCCCTGAAGTGGGCATGCTGCGGGCGTAGCCATTCACTCCGTTCCGTTTGAAATAGGGGATTGTTTCCAGGTGGGCTGCCAGCACAGCCAAGGAGTCGCACGGAGTCACAAAGAACGCACTGTGACCCAAGATCATGTTCCGGTCCTGAAGGAGAAATTTTAAGGCAAAAGTATTACAATCTAATTGACAAAATAAACTTCTTCATCTCTATCGCATCACACTTGAAGTTCGGTATCTATCATACACTGGGTCATCCTGCTCAGTTTATCTGTTGGCCCGTACAGCTTCTCTTTTCATGTCAATAAGGTTGATCATATTTCCACACAATATACATTGTATATATCATTTACAAATACGGCAGCTTCAATCATGGTGGTCAGGAAGCACAAGGGACACTACACATCCCTGAGAGTAAAGACAGAGCACTCCATGAAACATATTTTTTTAATATGGGAATCACATTCACATCTTTAGCAAACAAAGAAGAGAGCCTAAGTGTTACACCATGGGGTGAGTAAAAAGAGGCGTAAGAATTGTATGCAAGGCCTGAGCTATAGTCTAAACAAAGAAAAGCATATCGCACAGTAATGGTCATTTGGTGTTGGGAAACATGAAAGACAGAAAAACAACAGAAGGTAAGAAAAGAAGTAGGACCCACCAGAGATGACCTCCAACCATCCCCCAAATATTGCCCACATTTGAATTTGACTGGCACAAATCCTCTACAAAGAAATATTTTTACCCTACAACAAGGCAGTTTACGCTAACTTACACCATCTCCATCAAATGCTGCTGCAAAGTCATGCCGACCTTCTTTCATTATATCCACAAGATCTTTGGCATATGTCAGATTGGGATCTGGGTGCCTCCCACCAAAATCTGGGAGAGGAATACAGTTCAGGCACATTTCCTCTGGTAAACCGAACTCTTCGATGAAAATCTTTTTGATGTAAGGTCCTGTCACTGAAGGATGACAAAACAAAAAACAATTAGTTGTGTGCACCGATATTGAAATACTATGTTAGTTTTTTGAATGAGTCGAACATCACAGAAGACAATAATATATCACCAGTGTCTGAGGTGTTGATGAGACAGGCACTTTGTCACTGCGGCAGAGACCTGAGTTCGATTCCCGTTAGGGGAGAATTTTTATTGAGTATCTCCATCTTTCTACTGGGATGTTTTGTTTTGTTTTAGTAGAGGTTTTACTGCACTCGCAACTGCATTAGGTCACATGAACGCCAAGGGGTGGATTTGAACAGAGAAGTCCTTACAGGGAATCAAACTTACTCTGCTCACCTCTTCAGCTTCAACAGCACAAAGTCTGCTTTGACTATTGAGGCACCTCAGAAATAGCGGGTCACAAGTGCGACAAACATACAAAAAAAGTAGAGGAAAAAATGACGATAGTAAGGATTAGGAAAGGAAAAGCAGCAGTTCCCTGTTGCAGTTCAGGCACAGTTATGAGCATGACATTGATGAGTCAGCCCATTTACAATTACAATTCTACTGTGCATAAGAACTCGAAATGTTAATTTCCCCCCCTTTGGGAATGGTCTAAACTAAAGACACTTCAGTCAGTAGCACCGCCCCGGGGGGTTTGCTGGGATGTTGTATCCGTCAGCCCAGATTAGCCCAGACAGGAAGACTCCAGGCCTCTCTCCTAAATGATCTATATTGTGTGGATGGGGCCTATTTCTTTTCTGTAAAGTGTTTTACGGCGCTCGCAACTGCATAAGGTCTTATGAGCGCGCGGGACACACCTAATATTTTCAGTTGGTAGGAAATTTTGAATTTTTGCCCGGGTGGCGGCCGAAGCCTACTCTTATCGATTTTAGACCACCAAGGGATCTTTAACGTGCGCAACTTGCTAGGTGTAGATCTTTCCTACCAGAAGATCAGGGGTGTGGCAGAAAGACAGCAGTAAGGAGGAGCCAAGGAGTAGCAGTAGAAAGGCTGCAGAAAGAGTCAGGAGCCCAGAGGAGGGGGCGAAGGAGGTGAGGGGGTGGGGGCAGAAAGTGGAAATGAAAGCAGACAACAAAACATTGCTAGAGAGCAGGAAAGAAGGTGAAAGGAGACAATTTTAGAGAAGAAAATTTTTTTGGTCGCTACCCGGATTCTAACCCGGGACCTTTTGAATGAGAGGCCAACCCCTTAACCTCTAGGCCACGAGAGCCCCCGGATGGGGCCTAAAACACCAACATTAAAAAAGAAATACAAAACCCTAACAGATGAACAATAACAAAGTGGTCGATTTGAAGACAAGTCATCACAATATAGGGTTTGGGGGGGGGGGGGGGTCTACTTTCCTCATGAATGGACCCATGCACAGGTAATTAGCATGGCAGAGAGCTAGAAAAAAGACAACAGAAGGAAAGTGGAAAAAAAAGCTCCAAATCTTAAATTAATACAAAATAAAAACAACCAAACAATATAAGGGCCATTTTCAATAGGTAGGCTCAACATAGCTGCTACAACTTAAATTTTTTGAAAAAAAAGCTTCTAATCTTAAGTTAATACTAAATAAAAACAACCAAACAATATAAGGGCCATTCTCAAAATGTGGGTTCAACAAAGCTGCTTGCTACAACTTAAAGTTTTTGAGTTAACTATTACTATGTGCTTTTCCCACTCTCGTGTAGGCCTAAGCTATAGTGAGTATTTTCCTACTTTTCATGTTGAAAATAAAATCAGAAACTTCAATTACACATGAAATTTCATCAGTTTTATAACTCTTCTTAATGGACTACCATACTCATTATGGTATGACATACAGGTAACATGGATGTTTGCCTTTTTTCAGTGAAAATGCTGCATTAGCAAGCATCATACACATTGGAATGCACAAATATGGTTATTTTGAACACAGTGTGCTTTTCATCTTTGTGATCAACAAGGAGAGGTTCTAAATGCCCAGTAAATAAAATTCGGTGCATAACCACAATAATGGTGACGAGAGCTGACCACCAAAATTTTACACCCCCTCGACTTAATTGACAATACTGAAACTAACACTGGAATATTTTCTTGTAGGTACTGGCACCTTCCTTTCTATAAAGTGAGCACCCTTTGAAATTCTCACTGGTTTGGTTTTTATGACTGAGCAAATACATATATATGAGACGTATTAAAATCTTGGGCTTGACCATTCTTTCATCTTAATCTCATAACAGCTGCAATTATCTCCCTATTCTCACATCTATTTACCTCCATTCATTCCATTGATAAGAA